TGCGGATAATATTTGCCTTTAAAGCACAAGAGCGAACGAAATGCAAGAAGAATCCCATGACGTAGAGTAACATCTGCTGCAGAGTAAGTTCACTTTGGAATTGGAAAACTTGTTTTCCAAAACAGGAGTGCTGTGTTTATCACCAAAGACTGCTTCCTTCATACTTTATGGCAAATCTTTTCAAATTCCTTGAAAAAATTTTCTCCAAGTCGGCAGACTGCATTGACGACATCCAGCAAAGAATTAAACTGACTGCAAGGATGAATTTTGTAAATTTAAATATCACTTGTACTGTACTTAAATGTAAATTAAAAATGTGTAATAGCAATGTATTATTGCATGAGTTCGAAAAATGGGAAACAAACAACGCAGTTCAATGAAAACCCTGAATCTTTAAGGGGGGGGGGCTACACCTGAAGGCTATCCCGCTTATTACAGGACCGAATCTTACCACATTTCACACAGACAAACAAGCATAGTATGGAGTCTTAAAATCGGCAATCAAGTTTGAGAAAAAATTTCGTTTCCATGGATACGGCGGCCATATTGGATTTTGTTGACATGTTTTACGTAATGAATACCGCACTGATCGATCTTGGAAATTGATTGTTATTTTGCATGCGTGTTTACAAACATTAGATCTAAAACTTTGGAAGTTGTTATTTTCCTAAACGAATTAGAAAATGTTAAATGAATTTTTTCCTGAGGTAGCATTCAAGTTTGCAAAAATCCGTGAAAATCCACACTCCAGACACCACCAACAAAAATCTATTCCAAATATTAAAAATTCAACGCACTAATTTGTAGTATTACAACTTTTCTTCATTCTGTGAACATTTCATGAAGTTTGAATTAAAAATGGAGGAGTTATTCAAAAAAGTATAGAGAAAAGTCGCGTTTTGAGAAAACGGCCGATAAAGAAAATTAAAATACTGACTTTATGAGGAAACAGCGGGGACAGATATGCCCGGTATGGGAAAAAATACGTTTATTGTGGGTTCTTATGCTATGAAATAGTTGTAGGAGAGGCTGAGGAAGCTAAAAATACCTACAGCTCAAATTCCATAATTTTAAGCCAAATTTTGACTTTGTGGGTGTAGCCCCCCCCCCCCCCCTTTCCAACCCCCCTTAAAAAAATGTTTATAATGAATTGTATTCTAAAACTGGAATAGAATTATCACAAATAAGAAAGTATTATAATGGGCTGGAATTTTTTTAAAAATCAATGTGATCATATAAAGGAGAAGATGAGATAATAACATATTTTGAGAATGTCAAAGACACGATTCCCTGTCAGACACGGTACTGGAGACCAAATGGGAAAAGGAAGAAGAGGTAGACCAACTGATTATTATAAGAGTACGACCTGATGTGGTAAGTTAGAGAAAGTGGCCACGCACAGACAAACGTGTCGTCAGATTCATCATGCTTTGTGAAACTGACGGGACAGGGAGAGAGTAGTGTGAGTGAGTTAGGAGAGAAGTATTTGAATAAATGATTGAGTGAATGAGAGAGTGAGTGAGTGATTGAGTGTGTAAGCGAGTCAGTAAATAACTGAGTGAATGAGTGAGTGAGTAAGTGAGTGAGTGAGTGAGTGAGTGAGTGAGTGAGTGAGTGAGTGAGTGAGTGAGTGAGTGAGTGAGTGAGTGAGTGAGTGACTAAAAGAGCGTGAGTGAGAGAGTGAAAAGGGGGATTTGAATCAGTTAGTGAAGTGTGCACCAGAAGGCTGTCTACAGGGTTACTGATTTTAGCTGTCCATCTTTGCTTGATATGGTAGCACTGAAGTACATACTGTTAGATCGGTGGTCAGATAGCTAGGTAGCTAGATAGATCGATAGATCGATAGATCGATAGATCGATAGATCGATAGATAGATAGATCGATAGATAGATAGATAGACTCACCTTGTATCAAGAGCAACAACACAAGAACATCTCTATAAGACATCTCTGACGTCCAAATCAAAGAGTCCTTGTCGGTGCAGACTTCAAGGACTGTAACTCCCCCGTCGGTGGGTAACGGTCTTTGTGTTACTGGAAGCTGCTGCTTTCCGAAAAAGAAAATGTGTAGGGGTTGGAATGGTGTAGTCAGGTGCGGGGATAAGCGGTGTGTTTTTACATCCACATCGACACAATTTAGATTGTTTTTTTTAATTTTCTTTCTTTTTCTTTTTTTTTTTTTTTTGGGGGGGGGGTAATCTTCCGACCCTGGCTGTTATAATAAACCCCTGCTTAGACGGATACTACGTCCTAATAGATACACTGATGAGGTACTCGATAAGTAAGTCTCCACACTTGAGAATCGAACATGGGTCTTCTGCTTGCTACAGCGAAACGATTAACCGCTACACCACAGACGCTGGTCTTGGTGGGCGGGAAAGAATAAAGGGTGGGGATGGTGGGCTTAGATGGTGGGTGGGGAAACACAAAGTTTGGGGATGGTGGGCTTAGATGGTGGGTGGGAATGGAAGCATATTTGGAGGGTTAAGGACCAGGTAGGCGTGTAAAGGTGGTGGGTGGGGTGGGGTGGGGTGGGGTTGGATGGGCATGGATTGTATAGACGATCATTCCTCGAGGTTGAAGCCAACCGAACTCCTTATCACCTGCTGAAAGAACTGCTTTTCTAAACCCAAAATGTAGAACTTTGTAACGACCTCAAAGGTGGGAGAGAATGCTGTCTGATAACGGCAGCATAAACTACACTGTCACAACGTTAAACTGACATTTGGCGTTCTGAGTGTAATTATATCTGAATTAAAGTATAATGCAGTGAGATGAGAGCGTTTTTTTTACAACCCTTTTCCAGCTATTCAAAATACTACAAAAGACGACAGATGTAATGGGAAGATGTCCAGTTTATGCTAGAACTGCTATGTTTAAATTTTGAAAAGCTCAAAGTGTCGGAAATGTACTAAAAAATCTAAATGCCTTCATTGCCC